GCCACACGTTGACCTGTTGAAGAAACACATATTAGCGCATTACTCAGCAACAGATATACACTCAATATAAAAGCTTGGTATCACTTTTTATTTCTAAATTTGGTTTTTGAAAAATAAAATTGACCAAGGACACATTAAATGTCTAAGAATTACAGTGAATACACAATATAAAAAATTTACTATTTCGATTTCAAATAAATACTGCATTTTTCACTACCTTCTCATTGTGCAGACCTTTTGCATTATAGCAGTGAATTTAGTAGGATATTCAGGTGAAGTTTCATCTCATGCTTCCTGCGGCATCTTCCACAGGTACGATTGACACTTCTTACACTTCTTACAGACTTATGATGATCAAACAGCTCAACACCTCAAACTCAAATTTATCCATCTACCATCTAATCCATCTAATATTTAAAGGGTTAGTTCACTCAAAAATGAAAATTAGCCTGTGTTTTACTCACCCTCGAGGCATCCTAGGTGTATATGACTTTCTTCTTTCAAATCCAATCGGAGTTATATTAAAAATTGTCCTGGCACTTTTAAGCTCTATCATTGCAGTTGGCGGGTGTTTTTGTTCAACAGTCCAAGAGACGTTAAATAAAGTGTGCGCATCCATAATAAAAACGTGCCTCACACGGCTCCGGGGGGTGAATAAAGTCCTCCTGTAGTGAATCTATGCATTTTTGTAAGAAAAACATCCATATTTCAAACGTAATAAACACTTTTCTCTCACTTCCGGTATCTGTCGTACGCGGACGCCAATCCGGCGGATGACGTAGGACGTCGACATTGCGTGATTAGTGACGAACACGGAGAGAGAACAAAACAAAACGCCGGTCACGAATTAGAAGTACAAACTGAGGATTTGTAAAGAAAAATGTTGGAGGATTTCGATATAAGCCAAGAGGGGACTGGTTGTCCTTTGCTAAAGTAAGGAAACTTCCTTTGCTCCTCTAATCAAACTCATGAGACTAGCATATCTCAAAGGTGCGCGCGACGCATACGTCCTACATCATTCGCCGGAACGGCTTCCACGTACGATACCGGAAGTGAGAGAAAACTGTTTATTACGTTTGAAATCTGGATATTTTTCTTACAAAAACGCATGGATTCGCTACAGGAGGCTTTTATTCATGCCCCGGAGCTGTGTGAGGTATGTTGTATTATGGATGTGCGCGCTTTATTTAATGTCTCTTGGACTGTTGAACGAAAAACACTTGCCGACTGCAATGATAGAGCATAGAAGTGCCAGGATAATTTTTAATATAACTCCGATTGGATTCGTCTGAAATAAGAAAGTCATATACACCTAGGATGCCTCGAAGGTGAGTAAAACACAGGCTAATTTTTATTTTTGGGTGAACTAACCCTTTAAGTTATTTTGCATATTGTATTTATTTTAGTGTCAATGACAATGATTTGAATGAAAAACATAATAAAGGAGGATGCCACAGAAAACACACATGCTAAACTAAAAGAGTATTAGAAGATAATCTTCATAAACTAAAACATATTCAATAAGAATAAACAAGTATTTAGTAAGAATCCCATTTATTCAAAATCCTTACCCCTGCAAGGTGTGGGTTGGGGTTGAAGCCACACTGGTTGCACACTGTAGTGTGGCACTGTGTACACTTGTTGAAGTTTGGTGACCCATCAAAATTTGTTAACTCTGTAGTATTGCAAACTGGACAGAGCTTACTGCTTGGCATCGGTGCAATCTGGGGTACTGAGTATGGTGAAGTTGGTGCACTGGCTCTATCGGGAGACACTGACGGTGAGCGGCCTGTTCGACCACTACTGCTGCTGAAGTCCACCTGGAGGTTGCGTCTGGAGGCATGTTGTCCAGGGCTTTGGGTGGGTCCCATGCCCCCTGATGAAGCTTGAATTTGAGATTGATGTGTAGAAGAAGTCTGGGAATGTCTAGGTCCATCATGGACTGGCTTTTTGTAAGGGTTTCCACTTGCTTGAATGCCGCCCATGCCAAAGTCACCACCTGGCCCTCGATCACCGGTTCCATAGCCTAGTTTTGGGCTTGATGGTGGGCCTCCCCCTCCAGCCAGCCTGAATAAAGCAAAAAGAGCAGGAGAGAATGAGAACGTCTGATTATTCTTTGGCACAACCTTTACCTTTTTAACTAGCCTGCTCTTAACATGAAACTCATTTAAGTATCGTTTGGAGTGGACCATGGCATTAAAAAGCTCAGTTCAGTTATCAATATACACTACACTTACACTGAATCATTTAACAGACCGTTTTATCCAATCCAGTGCACAAATAAAGGACACCACAAGTAATTTATCATAGAGTTTATCATAGAGGTACCGACAATATTCACAGTACCACAATATCAAGTTTCAGGAAAAAGGCAGTATTTCAAAAGCTAGAGCAGAACATAACTTCAGGATGATTTTGAAGAGTTTAAACAGTTTTGGCCAGCGTATTTAATCATTTAATTTGCTATTAAAGGGGTCATATGACGATGCTAAAAATAGCAATATTTTGTGTATTTGGTGTAATGCAATGAGTTTACGCGGTTTAAGGTTAAGAAAATATGTTATTTTCCATATACAGTACATTATTGTTGCTCTTCTTTCTGAAACATGTCAATTCTAACAAAGCTCATCATTCTGAAAAGGGAGGTGTGCTCTGATTGGCCAGCTATCCAGTGCGTTGTGATTGGCCCAATACCTCAAGCGTGTGACGGAAATGTTACGCCCTTACCATAATTGGAAACATAGCGTATCCACGACAACAATACTAAAGCGAGAATAAAGGTTACGCCTTCTTTCTTTGCGTAAACATTTGGGCGGTGTTACTCAAATCCCACGCAGTGACGTAGATATGTGGGGGCGTGCTTAAATGAGGCATTTTAGGAAGGCGTGGACGAGTCTTTTATACAGAATATCTCTTTGGGTTCAAGACTTCAGTCTTCACAAATTTATGGATCTTATCTAGGAACGAACAGCTTGTAACACTCCAAAGACAAAGGAAAACTTGAAATTGCATCATATGACCCCTTTAAGAGCAGAGATACCAAGAGAAAAAATAACAATCATAAATATCAAAAAGAAGAAAATGTATCAAATAGACAAATATAAAGAAACTGTAATATATACACAAAAATACAGTCCAATTATTACATTATAACCTTATTGCTAACAAAACACAAACTCTCACACACACTCACTCTTGCATATGTGGTTTACGGGGACTCTCCATAGGCGTAATGGTTTTTATACTATACAAACTGTATTTTCTATCCCCTTACAATAACCTTACACCTAAACCTACCCCTCACAGAAAACTACTGGCAATTTTTTTTTTATACTCTTGAGCAATCTAAAAAGAAATATGCAAACAAATATGCACAGTGTAAGGCACACAAGTGTTAAAAGTTTTGACGTGGGAGCACGGCGGAGAGTGGAACCAAGGTGGAGCTGATGGGTCAACAGGTCTAGATGGACTCGTGGGCCCCAGGCAAAGCATGGGATCAATGCACCAAGGGCAAGAGCCAGCAGAAGGGGAAAAGCCGAGGAGCTGGACAGAAAAAGTGGGGACAATGGAGCCTGGAGGCTGGATGAAACTGGTGGAGAAGAAGCCAGGAAGCTGGGTGGAACCAGAGTGCTTGGAGGCCAAGAAGGCCAAGGAGGAAGCCAAGGCCCAAGTCACAAAAGCTGTGACAGTCAGCCTGACAGCAGATATGTGGACCTCAGTTATTATGGATGCATATCTTAGGTTGACATGCCACTCTTTAAACGAGGGGTCACTTAATACTGTGGTTTTAGGATTGCTGAAATTTCCCCAAGTCCACACTGCTGAAAATTTGCCAACAGCTAAGGTTGCTATCATGGAGGAATGGGGAAGTAGGCACAAAGTAACATGTCTAGTTACAGATGGCGCAGCCAATATGGTGGCCTGTGCCAAGGAGTTTAATGTATATACCCCATCTGTACTGCATATGTGCTCAATTTGATGGTCAAGAAGGCACTAGACCAGACTCTGGGACTTGGACCTGAGAACAAAGACAAAGTTTTCTCATTTCTCATTTCATTCATAAAAACTTGACATGAAAAAAAAAGTCTAGAAATGCCCCAAAAAGTAACTCACTGAGTTGAATATCTCCGGACCGGAACCCTGGTTCACATACACACTTACACGATATTGCGTTTGGTCTCATTCTGTATCACGTATCTTGTCAGTGTCTGCGCTTGCTTGGCCATTTGTTGTGGAGAAAATAAAGAAAGTGTGTTCAAGCGCCAACAGAAAACAGTGTAATCTGTTGTCCTCATTTGTAAGTCGCTTTGGATAAAAGCGTCTGATAAATGACTAAATAAATAAATAATAAATAAACATATAATTAGCTGAAGTAAAGTAATACGTATTTGGCGTGCTGTCCGGGGAAGGGCTCCGAGCTCAGGAATAGCCAGAACCCAGAGTAATCCCCCCGTATAAGTGTGGTTAGAACTTTAAGTGACTCTGGGTCTGCCTGTCATGTGACTCATCACATGACAAAAAATAGGAACTGAACAGTACAAAGGAGGCAGCATGACAAACAGACAAGGTCATTGACCAAACACCTGCACGCTGGATTGTGGAGTTGTTTATGGATTTACCATTCCAGTATTTTCACACATCTTGGATTATCACTTTCTTTGGACTGTATATACACCGGAGGACACTTTTACATTGGAACTTACAGCACGCTGGATTTCTTAAGGACTGGTTTAACGGTATGGAACTGAAAGACTCTGTGCTTTTAACAGCCTAGGATTTCTAGTTTTATTGTGTTGTTTTAAGTTCCTTGTGAATTTTGTAAATACACTATTTATTCATTCTACTTTTGTTGTTGTCATCTTTTTAAAACATATATTTTACCTCACACAGTTTAATCTGACCCCATTTTAAATAGATGTAATTCGGCCGATAAGGCCGATCGTTACACTCTTGTGTTAATTAGACTAAGTATCTGACGTGCTCCTCCCGAACTTTGTAAATAAAACATCATTTGTCATGACAGTCAGAATGACAGTTGGCAGATGAATAATAACATTTGCAGTAAAAGCTTTTTTTTAAATTCATGCTTTGGCCTGAGTGTTCAGATTTACGGCATTCTGACCGGCAGGCGTCATCAGTATGTGGTGTTTTGAGCACTTCAAAATAGAGGTCTGCATTCCCGCGGCTCTCCCGCGTGAACTGCGGGACCCGACCGGATTTTTTGCGCCGTGGGATTAAATTCCCAAATAAAACGCGGTAGCGGTCGGTAACTCTGGTGTAATTTGAACGGGAGCGGGCGGTCTAACAATATCCCGTTCCCGACGTCCATTTAGAACAGCATATCTGTGCTTTATTCTTATTAACCACCAGTACAGCTTGCGCTCAGGACTGTTATGCACACGCTGCATGCTTTAAACGTCACGCGTTTTATTTGCGAGAAAAATGTCAAACTAATTTAGTATTTTGACAAGACGAATAAAAATAGCTAGGCTATTTTTGTACAACCTGCATTTTTATTTTTTTTTCTCTGCGACACGAATTGTATCCTGACAAGACGAATAAAATTAAGAAATACAATTTTTGTATAACATTTTTATTTTCTCTGACACTTTTTTCCTACTGTGTTGCATAAAATATTAAAAGATTCTGGAAATGAGATCTAAATTTAGCGGGAACGGTCGGGTCGGGAAGAAAATTATTCTAAGCGGACAGCGGTGAACAAAGAGTGAATATATAGCGGGAGCGGGTGGGTGCAGAATAGAACCTTGCGGGAGCGGGACAAAAAAAACAGTCCCGTGCAGTCCTCTACTTCAAAACAGTGAATCATTTGTGAAGCAATTTATTCAGTTGATTCAAAGCTTTGAAAGGTTTGTTTCTCCCAACACTAGTCTAGTCCGTTGGTTCGTCCTCCCGATCCACCCACTGCTGCTCACTGGTGAGAGAGGAGGGTGAGTGTGATATGGCACTGAATCGCCCACAACCCCCCGTCCCCTCTGGGGACCCAGAGATAGAGCTCCTCCGGGGGAGGGAGGGGTGTGCTTACCATCTCCTGAAGAGCAGGTCCCTCCACCTCTGTGTTGCCCGTCTCAGGGCCTCTTGCTGTTTCGCTTGCCACCAGGTTTGGCGGGGGCCTGGACGGGCGGGGCGGCTGCCCTGCGACCGGCTCCACGGTGCAGCTTTGCTGGAAGCTGCTGCGGACGCTGCGCGGGAGCGGCGGCAGGGGGCCGCCCTTGGTGACGAGCGGGCTGAGGCGCTGCCACCGGCGGCCGGTTGGAGGCAGCAGCTGCACGCCGAGGCAGGATGTACCTGATGGCCTCAGTCTGCTTTTGGGCAGCGGAGAACTGCTGGGCAAAGTTCTCCACCGTGTCGCCGAAGAGGCTGGTCTGGGACACGGGGGCGTTCAGGAACCTTGCCTTGTCCGCCTCGCGCATGTCGGCCAGACACAGCCAGAGATGGCGCTCCTGGACCACCATAGTGGACATCGCACGACCCAGAGACCGCGCCGTAACCTTCGTCGCTCGTAGCGCGAGGTCCGCCGCGGTGCGGAGTTCCGGGTCGTGACCACCCTCGTGCAAGTCCCTCAGTGCCTTGGCCTGGTGCACTTGCAACAACGCCGAAGTGTGTAAGGCGGAAGCATCTTCTCCACAGGCCGTATAAGCACTGCCGATCAAAGCTGACGAGTGTCTACAGGCCCGGGAGGGGAGCAACGGTTTACCCCGCCAAGTGGTAGCTGCATTTGGACACAATTGCATCGCAACCGACCGCTCCACCTGGGGAACTCCCGTGTACCCCCGCGCTGGACCCCCATCAAGGGTGGTGAGGGAGGATGAGCCACTGGGCCGGTTTCTGGCAGT